CACACACACACACACACACACACACACACACACACACACACATTTTTCTTTTCAATGGCAGAAACCAACTTTTTCAGAGTAGGTGGCGGCTGGCTATGTACTATGTATGCAAAAAAGATTTTATCCAGATTTTTCTCAAACCCCATGGGAACGTGCACACGGGGTCACAAAATGTAGGCCTATGTACGGGTCATAATTGTGGTTAAAAATTGGTGAAATGGTATGGGTTTAACTTAAAGTCTAACGCCCCCTATCAACACTATTTAGGTTATTTAAGAGGCGGGACCTCCTAGTTTAACGTCCGTCTCCGAAAGGACAGAGCCAAGTGGGAAATTCGTGTAAAGTAAAGTGTCTTTCCCAAGGACACAACGTCGGACCGAGCTGAGGCTCGAACCTATAATTGTCTAACACATCTCGTACCAAGACCATTTGTGAAGCTAGCTGACAAAATGATTTACTTCTTGGACTCAAGCCTTTAGGAAATAGATACATCGCGTGTACATGTATTATTGGTGAAGTTTTTTTTCAGAGAAATGGTGGGACCAACACCTGTCCTCCACTACATCTGAAGTCAAACAATCAGGTGATTTGGACATCTCACACGTATGGCACCTCACCAGCTTGCCAGTAAAGCCTTCTACAGGAAAGTATCAGGGTACAAGGCAAGAGGAAGACCAAGAAAGACCTGGATCCACGGTGTGAAGGATACCCTGAGAACATACAATAGCCCAGCCATCTAGCCGTCATTAAGTACTTGTCCCCTTGGTTTTACGCACCCCGCATAATTTAGTAAAATTTGATAATTTTTTGCATAATTTCTGATTATTTTCCTTAATCATTCTTTGTTAAAATTAACATAATTGCAAAATTTCACATTTTTGGGTACAGTTTGCATAATTTCAGAATTTCTTTTGCCTAAAACCGCGGGGACAGAAGTACGGCTAGCCTCTTCCATACATGAATGAAAGGCAGGAAAAAAATATACAAAATCCGGAGCATTTGACTTTCAAGCAGCCTAAAATACAACACACACACAATTTGTACCATTTTATTACAAAAAAAGGGCATGAAGTAGGACAAATAATACCATACACATACAGATGTACATCTTACAACAATGAATCAATTTGTAAAAGTAGAAAAGAAAAAAAATCCATGATGTTGTAAACGTGTACTGTACATTTTTACAATTACCATACAGTATCACACTGATAAGACGAGACAGGCAGAGAAATGAAGAAGTAAGAGCAGCTATCCGCATTGAGTCCTGCCCGCATTACATAGAAAGACAGAGAATCAAATGGTTTGGTTTTAGTAAGAGTTTTACGGCCCTTGCAACACAATAAGGTCATATAAGTGCCGAAGAATAGAGGTGTTACAAGAGAGTAACATACACATAAAAGGAGGAGAGATGAGGACGATAGATGTTTGATAGGAAAGAAGGAGCAAACCACACCAGAGCAGTAATAGGGTTTGAAGTTCGAGGGATATCTTACAAAGATGAAGAAGAAAGAAAAAATAAAAGGGACCGCAAGCATAGTTCGACAGTTGCGTGATTTCAAGTCTTCTGTGTTATACTGTAATTTGTACCTGCTCTTTAGTTTAGTTTTAGTAGAGGTTTTATGGAGCTCGTAACTGCATAAGGTCATACGAGCGCCAAGGGGTGAATGTCAACAGAGAAGTCCAAATGGGGAATCAGGCTTAGTCTGCTCACCTCTCTAGCCTCAAAAGCACAAAGTCTTCTTCGACTATCAAGGCTACCCGGAAATAGCATTTCATAAGAGAGTGACAAACATACAAAAGACCTGTAGAAATGCACAAGTGGGGATTCTACATCTGTGATGTCAAATTCATCTCGTAGCAAGACTATTTTCGTGGCGATAGGCCTGAAGTAGGATAGAAAGCTGACAACTTCAGAAATCTGGATTTCCGGATTGATCAGGAAAATCAGCACCTCTGTAGATGTCACAAAAGGCACCAAGGATGTCAGAAACCAAAATGACAACTCCAGGAAAATACAGAAAAAAATTTGATTCGGCAACTTCGCCATTATTAGTTCTCTAAATTAAACATTTTTTTCTAATGTTGGCATTTTTCCGCTTATCAAATAAAAAATTCTCCCCACTCAAGAACTGAACTCGGGTCTCCTGCGTGCCACAACAAAGCACCTATCCGCTACACCACAGACACCAGTATCATTTCTCAGCCTTCCAGAGATCTAGCACTGGATTACTTAATTGACATATGATGTAGATCCTTGACTTCGTAAACAACAAGATATCAGAAAACATTTCTTTTTTAACGCTTTGCCATCACAAGGCTCAAATAGTGAAAACCTTTACCATCAAAGGCAAAAGCATTTTGGGGAAAATCCAAAGAAACTGGGTGGTAAACATCGCGGATCAGCGAGATGTGACAGCATAGTGCTAACCATGCACTAAACCATTTTTGCACCAGACACTATCTATCTGTATGGTCACTGTAGCGAGATAAATGAGTCAGCCTCTCTCCGTAGAACCTTAAAAGGACCAAACCGAGTCACTTGACTGTCTTGTCACTCCGCAGTAGCTCGAAACTTCTGTAGCGGAGATGATACATTATACATACAACGTACAGTCGAACCTACTCCAACGACCACCTGTACAAGACTATCACTTGTACAAGACAATCACCTGTTCACCTGTACAAGACCATCACCTGTACAAGACCATCACCTGTACAAGACAATCACCTGTACAAGATAATCATCTGTTCACCTGTACAAGACAATCACCTGTACAAGATATAATCACCTGTACAAGACAATCACCTGTACAAGATATAATCACCTGTACAAGACAATCACCTGTACAAGATAATTATCTGTTCACCTGTACAAGACAATCACCTGTTCACCTGTACAAGACAATCACCTGTACAAGACAACCACCTGTACAAGACAATCACCTGTACAAGACAACCACCTGTACAAGACAATCACCTGTTCACCTGTACAAGACAACCACCTGTACAAGACAATCACCTGTTCACCTGTACAAGACAACCACCTGTACAAGACAATCACCTGTTCACCTGTACAAGACAACCACCTGTACAAGACGACCACCTGTACAAACAGCCACTCCCCCCATTGCGTCTTTTTTTACATCATAACAACAATGTATAAAACTTACACTGACGACAGCCAATTTTTTCTTTGACAAAGGGCGGCCGTCTTAAGCAGTTTCTTTCAACAGTATTCTACAAATGTGTCACGACGCAGGGTGCAATCGGGCGCTCGTCAAGTTTTGGGCATGCAGAGTTATTGGTATGGCCTGGTTTCAAAGGTAGAATTAACGAGAAAATGGCCGCCAAAATTTGGTTATTTTAGTCCGTGGAAACAAAAAATTTAATATTTTTCATGCCGTTAATCAACATTTTCCATCAAAATCCACCCAGAAATGGGTTTTTAACTTGACAACAATTGCATTAAGCCAACAAACAAAAATAAAATTCTATAAACATTGCCGAACCGGGCAGAAAAATGTCAGTGTTTTTTCAACAATTTCATTACTTTGCCGAGCGCCTGATTTCACCACGCTGTCTTCCAAATGTTCATCAATATCCTCCCAGGGACAGCTATACATGACTGTAGTTCCCACAGCAGCACCGCCTGACTCATTCACATCCTCCTGTACAGAAACCTCCGACTCAACTTTGGTCCCTGCTCACAACTTCAATCAGTAGATGCCTGAGAAAAAAGTAGAAAAAAACCCCACATTAAAGAAAAAAGAACCTTACCAAAAAAATAACAACAACACTTACAGCATGGTATTCCACCACCCACCTGTATCGATACAACTAACCTCATATTTTCCCCCGACCGAACCCACCCGTGTTCTCGCTGTCCATGTCCTCCCCACCCACTTGTATCGGTACAATGTCGTATCCCTCACTCATCAGTATCGGTACAATGTCGTATCCCCCACTCATCAGTATTGGTACAACGTCGTACCCCCCCTCATCAGTATTGGTACAACGTCAGTATCGGTACAACGTCGTATCCCCCACTCATCAGTATCGGTACAACGTCGTATCCCCCACTCATCAGTATCGGTACAATGTCGTATCCCCCACTCATCAGTATCGGTACAATGTCGTATCCCCCACTCATCAGTATCGGTACAATGTCGTTTCCAGACACAAACACCTGTAACGGTACCACGTCGTGTTTCCGCATCGGCACTTACAACACAATAAGGTCATATAACATCGTTTCCCCACCCACACAACGTCCACCCATCCACCTGCATTGGGACAACGTCGTTTCCTGACCCCACCCACCTGTGTTCTTGCTGTCTATGTCCTCCCCAACCACCTGTGTTCTTGCTGTCTATGTCCTCCCCACCCACCTGTGTTCTTGCTGTCTATGTCCTCCCCAACCACCTGTGTTCTTGCTGTCTATGTCCTCCCCACCCACCTGTGTTCTTGCTGTCTATGTCCTCCCCAACCACCTG